CATCAGATGTAGCAGGTGAAGGGGGCCAAAATGTGTTTTGGAGCATGCTCAGTAGGCTCCTTCTTCAGACCCCATCCATCCCTGATATCCACCTCCCACCTTTATCCTACAGCTACAGAGGTTGGGCTCCAACAAGCGTGCCCTATATAATATACATTTTCTTCCACACAACTGCCGGTCACTGGATATTTTCTCTTTTTCGGACCATTCTCTGTAAACCCCAGAGATGGTTGTGTGTGAAAATCCCAGAGATTTTGGTCCATATTGACATGAGTTACTGTTGCCTTTCTGTCATCTCGAACCAGTCTGCCCATTCACTTCTGACCTCTGACATCAACAAGGCATTTTCATCCACACAACTGCTGCTCACTGGATATTTTCTCTTTTTCGGACCCTTCCCTGTAAATCCTACACATGGTTGTACATGAAAATCCCAGTAGATCAGCAGTTTTTGAAATATTCAAACCAGCCTGTCTGGCACCAACAACCATGCCACGTTCAAACACACTTAAATCCCCTTTCTTCCCTATTGTGATGTTTGGTTTGAACTTCAGCAAGTCATCTTCACCATGTCTAGATGCCTAAATGCATGGATTTGCTGCCATGTGATTGGTTTATTAGCAGTTTGTGTTGCCAAGCCATTGAACAGGTGTACCTAATAAAGTGGCCAGTGAGTGTAGATTACAACTTGGACAGCCTAATGAAATAACTGGTCTAATTTCAAGCAATTCAAATTGTGCATATGATGAAAAACGCGTAAACAGAGATTTCTCTTCAGTGAAAACAACAAGGCAAAAAATCAGTAGCCCCAGAAATAAAGGCAACCGAACTTGCATGCAGCTTTTCTGCTGAAGTTAATCTTGTTTCTGCATTTTTCTACCTCCGGAGCCTCCCTGTTGGTTGTTTAATAGGATGGATTGCCTCCCTGATAAATAGGGGGGATTGGAGGGGGGATGCTGGGGTTCAGGGCCAATATTGCCTTTTAAAGGACAAGTCAAGATTTGCTTAGAACATTGGCTTGACTGGTAGGATTATTTTTTAGATTTCTTCCACTTATCTGAAATTACATCAGTTATTGTTTCTTTTGAACTTCTGTTCCTATGAAACTTCTAGAAGGGTGCAGGACGCATGAGTGGCCCCACTTCTCAGCAAGTGGCTGAATTGTGGTGGAACAGTATGTTGAAGAACAGTTCCTTCTGTCAGGTCTGCCAACCTAGTCTGTGTGATCAAACCCACCTATGTCTAAAATTGAGTAATCATTTTAGTGTTGCTTTACCCTTTCATGTGGTGAAAAGAGTATTTTTAGTAAGTTTATTGCTACAGTACTGTTTATCTTCGATCTATTTTGTGAGATCTTCTCTACAATACCTGCACGTCCCCAATTTTGCTTCCTACAAACATTGCTGGTATGGAGAGGGTGTTCTGTAGTCCAGTAGGAGAGAAGTCAACTAGGGATGACAACACTGCTTGGGATTTCAGTGCGGCAGAAGCAGTGTTGTTAGGTCAAATAGGAAGTTAGGAGATGGGTGGATTTCTGGCAGAATCAACAGGTATTTTTCTATACTTAAAAAGAAACAAAAAAAGCTGCGCAAATAGTGAAAAAGTGGAAAAATAGCTGCTGACAAGACAACCAGGTCAATTGTATACAAATATTATAAATAAATTGCCGCGCTCAAATGTCACAATTCAGAATCTAAGTGTACAATCCAACCGCACACGTTCCTGCATTAAAAATGGTAAATAAGTGGGTGCTTCAGCAACCGTTGGCTGGAACTGAACAGAATCAGCAAGGGAGAATGTCACCAGCACACCGAGGATCACCAATATGGGTCCAAAAGTTTTAATAAACGATCACATAGTTACAGCAAGGCAACGTTTCGAAGTCTTGCAGGACCCCTTCATCAGTCGGGAGAGCTGTGGTGACCTGTGGTCGCATGTCTGATGAAGGGGTCCTGTGAGAATCCGAAACGTTGCCTTGCTGTAACTATGTGATCGTTTATTAAAACTTTTGGACCCATATTGGTGATCCTCGGTGTGCTGGTGACAGTCTCTTACAACTCAGCATCTGTCACATTCATATAAGTAATAACATAAATGTAGTCAAACTGTAGAAATAAATAGTCCCAGTGTTATGAACCATATAGTAGATCAGCACGTGTCTTCGTTATAATTTGTGCTCTACCACCAGAAAATGGTAGGACTCTTGCCAGAACATGTGGACCCTTAGAAAAGAGTCACAGACGCATGAGAATATATGCACCAAATCCCTCAGAATTGGAAGATGTTATATCATGGTACTGGATGGAAGTATCACCTTCAATTCCTCTCCATTCTTAATCACTAGATAATACCTCTCAGTATGGCGATGCAAAGAAAGACAAAGTGGCGACCATTGCATAAAACCATAAAACACCTTTATAATAAAGTATTACACTCACATTCAGGTGGGCAAGTCAGTGCTGTGTACAGAGTATTCTCCTGTCTTGGGAACAGGTGCACTTCCTGGTGTTAGAGAGCAGCGTGTAGACGTCAGGTGCACAAGCTCGACCCGATGCGTTTCGTCACATATGATGTCGTCTGGGGTGTGAAAACTGAGATACTTCCATCCAGTACCATGATATAACATCTTCCATTTCTGAGGGATTCGGTGGATATATTCTCATGCTTTTGTGACTTTCTTATACGGGTCCACATGTTCTGATAAGAGTCCTACCATTTTCTGGTGGTGGAGCACTAATTATATTGAAGACACATGGTGATCTACTATGGGTTCATAACACTGGGTATATTAATTTCTACATTTGGACTCATTTATGTTATTACTTGTATGGTTGTGACAGATTCTGAGTTGTGATATTTGAGCGCGGCAATTTATTTACCGGTATAATATTTTTCTATACTTGCAGCATTTTTTAAAGAGACAAAACCTGTACCTGTATTACAGACATGATAGATTGTACTGAATATGACACTTTTTTGTTTTGCCCAGACACACGCTTTAAGACATTAGGTACAAACTAAAAATGCAAAATTAATTTTGTTACAAATTGAAATTTGGAGGAAATGTTTGTTATTTGGCGATTCGGATTTATCTGAATTTCTAAATTACAACAGTAACACATGTCAACTAATCCAAAATAAATTATAACAAAATGGATTATTTGAATTTGAAAATTAATTTGAATTCAAGAATTAATTATAATTTGATATGGTAACTTATTGAAATAAATACAGTAAGGTATAAAAATGAAATAAAGATTATTCCTACTCAGGCAACTTTTAATAATAGAATAAAATAGACTTGAATAGAATTGAATAAAACAGAATAGAATATACCATAATAGAACAGAATAGAAAAGAAAAGAAAAAACAAAGAGAGTAATATAGAATGGAAAATAAAAGCATAGAATAGAACAGAAAAGAACAAAAAAAATAAAAGAATAGAAAATAAAGGAATAGAATAAAAAAGAATAGCATAAAATAGAAAATAATAGAATAGAAAAAAAAGAATAGATTATAAATGAATAGAATAGCATAGAAAGAATATCACTGTCTTCCAAGATTTGAATTTTGAATAGAACAGAAAATAAAGGAATAGAATAGAAAAGACTAGCATAGAATAGAGCGGAAAAAAATAGAAAAGAATAGAATAAATTTTAATTGAACAGACTAAAATAGAAAAAATATCACTGTCTTCTGAAATTCAAATTTTGAATAGAATAAAATAGAAAGAATATAGTCACCCTTCAAAATTCAAATTTTGAATAGAATAAAATAGAATATAGCCACCTTCCAAAATTCAAATTTCAAATAGAATAGAATAAAAGAATATAGCCATCTTCTGAAATTTGAATGTTGAATAGAATAAGATAGAATATAGCCGTCTTCCAAATTTGAATATACAAAACAGATTCAAATATATAAAACGAATTCCAAAAATGAATCAATCTAACATAACGAATATGATGAAATGAAATTATGAACTTAACGAATGAACCTGAAACAAAATACATTTTTCTGTTGTGCACAATACGTACAAACACATAAAGATGTAAAAAAAAACAATTTTTGGAAGATGAAAAGATGTTGCTACAAAAAAGTAATAAATGGAATACAGTACAGAACCAATATTATGATGATTTACCCTCTCTAGATCAGGGGTGTTCAACTCAATTTCGTCAGGGGCTGCATCAACATTATGTTTGCCCTCAAAGGGCTGGTTGTATCTGTAAGACTGTATAAATGTATCTACTCTTCTTTTGGCTTTTCTTCTCCTGTGGATCACAGGAGTGCAGTCCGTTCTGCACTCCTGTGACCCATTTTCAGCTGACAGTGGGCTATGAGGAGGACTATAGGAGGGCTGGAATCAGCTACTGGAGCCTGCTGAGACCAGAGGAGGCAGAGAAGAGGATGCTCAGGATCTGGTGGAGGAACTCTGTCCTGTCTGCTGTCAACAGCTAAGACAAGGTGGAGGAAGAGACGATTGAGGGTTCTGCAGTTGCATGAGGTGTGAGGGCCACATAAAATGTCCTGGCGGTCCAGATTAGGCCTGCAGGCCTTGTGTTTGACACGTGCTATAGATAAGATCTAACAAAGAAATACTTCCCTCTGCCCACTGATTTTAGGGCAGCATGGGCAACCGGTTGTTATATCACTACGAGAAGTCAGGAGCCTGCTGGGTTTCTGTCAGATCTACAGTTTTGTTTTGTACTTCAAGTGTTTTAAAACAGAAAAAAATGTGGGTAAATGTGCATGTATTGTAGAGGTATACTACACATGTTTCATACACAGACAAGCACTTTAAACAAAAAGGAGACTTGATTACTCAGAAACACTCTTCAGCTCATAAAGAGGACTCTTGATATGTTTTGTAGCAAATAATTAAAAATGTGGGTATACCATACAGTATGTATAACATTTTATTAATATGTGTTGGTTACCAAAGTAGAATAAATAATGCATGTTATGCTTTTTGTCTTGACACTCCTTTTTTCTTTCAGTTGGAGGCACATGGGTTTGACAGCTTACCACATTTTGACCTACAAGGAGGGAGCGCATCCATGAGCTCCGAGGGTTGGATGGAAATGGCTATGGAAGAACGATTGTTGGCCAACATTACTGCCTACATAAAATTGGAGCGACGACTAATGCAAGTGATAGAAGAACAGGCTGAAAGCCTTCTGCATGGAGAGAGAGACCTGCACGGGGGCCTTCAAAACCTACTGGAACAAGTGACGGCCTTGAGGACGCAGCTGGAGCACCTTGGGACCACCATGGGTCTGAGCATGGAGTCAGATGAAGGCATTGATGAAGTTGATAGAGAATCTGGAACTATGTTTGAGAGGAAGGTCAGGGGCTACCATGTCCTGAGAGAGCTGTCCATGTGGGCAGTGAGAAGTGTCAGGGACTTACGGAAGTTGCAGAGGGAGCAGGAGAAGTTGGCCAACAAAACTGAAACGCTCACTGAAGGGAATGGTCAATAAAGAACTGGGAGTATTGCGAGAAAAGGGTGCGAGAACGGCCTAAGAGAACAAAGTTTAAAGAACACCTGTGCTTCAGCAATAAGTATAATGCTAATGTAGGAGGGTAGGAAGCAAATGCTGTACTTGGTATTTCAGTAATGGTCTAAGTGTATTTTGGAAGTTCAATGTTTAAGGTTTACTTTATTTCCAATAGCATCCATGTTATTTGAATGTATCAGGGTTGGGATCAGGGCAGCTTTGGTGTGATTGGCTGAAATGTTACTCAGCATCCTAGAGAAAGGGAGACACCAAACCCTTCCACCACTTAAAACCCTACTCTAACCACAATTTATTTTTGCATAAAGAATGGAAGTGCTGTCTACGTCCCCATTTGGGAGATTTTGCTTTGCATTTTGGCTATTTGACAGATGTCACAACAGGAGGAGAACAGAAATATTTTCTATGGGCACACTAATGGCATTTAAAACCCAAGGGTATAGGGAAAAACTGGTATGCCACACCAGTAGTTGAGTCAAGCTATGTTTTTTTTTTTCCAAAATAAAAGGCCGGCAATACTAGCGAAATTGTTTCAAGGGCTCAGATGGGCTCCTTTTATCAGGATTCAGGAATGGACTCAAATTGGTTAAATGTTTGAGGTTCAAATAATATATTTGGGGGTTTAACAAAGCAGGTTTCAGCCTTTACAAATATTATTTGAGCCTCAAACATATAACCCTTTTCAGTGCAGTATTTGTCATTTCATTCTTGAGCCCTGATGGAGAGGGCCCCAAACACGTTGACTTGTCTTCTTAAATTTTTTTAATGAAATAGAAACAATTGGATTCTAAGTTATTGCTGTGGCATTCTCTTTCTGCTATAACCCTTGCATTTAATTTGAATGACCTTTTATTAGCTCTTTTAAAGAGAGAAAGCTGCCTAATCAGGATCACTGTACTCTACAGTAGAGACATCATTTTGCATTGCAAGAGCCAACTGACCTTCAAATCCAGCGTCTCCTGCCCAGATCTCCTGAAGTATTTAAACTCTGATATAATTTGTAACTCTACCTTGGTGTATCCAAATCTAAAAAATGAAAATGTATCAAATACTTACCATAATTTTCCATTCCTGGCACCAATCCATGGCAACATACTACCAAATGTATGCTGCCATGCTGTCACCAGGAAAAAAGATTTGGCTGGAATTGATCCCTTACCGATGTCTAGTGGAAGAGAACACTTAATTGTATGGCCGATGTACTGAGAAATGGAGATTAATATTAAGCAAATCTTAAGTCCTCTTTTCAAGATCTCCTAAACCTTTATAATTGAGAATGCATTCAATTAAAATGAATGCCCATCCTCTATATCCACCATCTTCATAGCAATTTTGTTTTTCCCAGGTTACAGGTGCGCTTTAGGTAACATCAGTCAGTATGTGATCATTACTAGGTATTGTTTGGTTAATACATAAAATATAGATCTAAGCTACGCTAGTTTAAGTAACTGGACGTGGTAATCATCCCTTATGTGGGCATTTAAAGTAAATCTGTCACAAGGCTGGACAATGCAAACTGAACATATCATGAGAAAATGCATGTCACATGGCAGAAGATCCAGAGTTATAAGCAGCTGAAGTTATGTGCAAATCCTCGAGCTTGGCCCCACCCTCTCCTGAAGCCAAAGCCTTCCTACTACTCTTCTTTGTGATGGGCGGGCTCGCTGGCCAGTTGGTCAATTTGGGAGATTGGAGGGGCTGGGTCAAACTCAACCTTTCCAGCTAAAGTGTGTATACAGTTGCCTGTATCTCCGAATCTTCCACTCTGGACAACAGTTTTCACTGTACGTCACCTCTGCTTATGTAACTGTTGTCAGGTGTTTAATCTCAATTGTCCAGGTTTATAATAGAAATTCTTTAAGAGAACTCAAATGATTGGAAAAACACTCAAAGTGAACTTGTCATTTTGATTCGGAAAATAGATTTTATCATTGGAGAAAGATCGAAAAGGTAGTACTGGCTTTCTATCGACAGCTGAACAAGGAATATACTGGTGCAAGGATACTTTTTATAGAGTTGCTCTTGTGTTTTTCAAGGTTGAAGATTTAATTTTTTTTTTTTCTAATTCGAGGCCCACCTGTATTGTTGCATTCTTACTCTTATGTGAGGTACACACTATAATTCCTTTTTTGTTCAGCCCAATTGACTAAACAAAAAAAAAAAAAAACCTAATAGATCATTGTACTAACATCTCGCCTTCTGTGCTATTGTGTTCTGACAGGGGGACTGCCCCCTGCCAGGACACACTGATCAGCGCTCGCAGCAATTGGCTGCGAGCGCTGATCAGATGCTGGTCGGCTGCTGGTTTTCCAACATGCCCCGTTTGACAAAAGCCAAACATGCTGCTGTACACAAGGCCGAATGTCAGACAAATACTGTTGAACCAGCCGATACCAGCCAATATTCAGCCATTATGTACCAGAACCTACCACCTTTGTATATACTTGTTACAATAGCAATTTTAGAAAATTGGCTTCGGTTGCATTGGGGTTCCTAGAAGCTGAAGAGAGAACAGAAGTGGAAAGGAGTGCTAACTGGGTAACAAACCTCACAACACTTTCCTCTCCAGCTCCACCTGGTTTTGTAGGACTTGTAGGCTCACTCAGCTCAACCTTCCAGCACCAATGTGACTTCCTTCCAATATGCACTAAAGAGCAGCCCCAACTGGCACTTGGGTGGACCTTATTTTGGTTGGGGGTCTGCCTGGTGGACCATGAGTACCCAGTTCCTGTCGGAAGTCTTGTGCCCCAGGGCATCTGGGCCAGGGTCCCTTCACTTCAGAGGAGGAACAAGTGTACATCATTTGCACTTGTTTGGGTTCTCACTTTTTTTTTTTGCACCACGGAGCTTAATAAAAGGATTCATCATTGATTTATCAAGTACAGTGTTAACCTCCCATGCTACCCCTCTTCAAGGCATTAAGAGTTCATCTAAATGACAGGTGCTCTTTAAACCATTAGTAGGACTGAAGACTGTGAAGTTAAACCCATTATGCTGCTACTTTAACCCATTTGGGCCTGGCACCAACTAAATTCCACACGTTAACGGTTATTCCTTGGCGAGAACCAGTTAATCCCAATAAATTATAGTCTATAATTCCTAAATGCTATTTATTACAGTTAAGTTATTTATAAATTTAACATGTGTTTTGTAATTTTTGCTGATCATTATTTTATTATCACCAGAATGTGTGGGCACGTGTCAGATGTGTCTTGCTGAAACAGATTTGCCTTCATGCATGAAAAATAAACATGCTACTAAACTAATGTTAGAGTCTTCTGTCCAAAGTAGCTGGATATCTGCCAATTTGGGAGAGCGGTGTATAGTGCAGTATGGAAACTGTGCTTGCATTGGGGCAACAGGGGAAAGTGGGCGTGGCTAAACAGCTAAGGGGTGTGGTCTCTAATATGCATAGTAAATAATCTTTGCTCCCCTTTATCAAATATGCTTATTAGCAGAACATTCATTTTTAAAACAAAAATAATGTAACAACATGTTGCTCTTAAAGCTCCTAAATTAGTGGGCAGCAAGCCTGGACCACCTTATAAGTCCATAATCATTTATGTTCCTACGTTCATTTTCCAGTTTAGTTCACTTACCTCATTGACAGGCCAAAAAAAAACTTGAATTGACTGTAATTGGCACTATTGGTGTAGGATACAGAGAAATATATGATAGTATGCACACTTTGCTGAAGATATTTAATGTATTCCAATTCCTATTTGTACCCACACCTTCCAGCCAATTGCTTTGGGAGGGTAGGCCAAAAAGCACTCTTCTAGTTCCACTTTTCTCTTACTTTTCGAATGGAAATTCCAATCTATTATTCTAGTCAAAATGGCAGCCCTACAATATCACCTCATATTAGAAATCACAAGACACAACCCGTTTTTCCTTTTTTTTTTTTTCTTTTTTTTTTTACATGGGTAAAGTGTTAGTAGACCTATTTCCCTGCATTCACTCTGTCTGATCTCCCACAGTACACACTACCTGGAAATTAAATTATTTTAGTAAATATGAACTGCTAAATCCCTTTTCTCATCAGCAGTTAGAGCAGTTGTGGACTTCTATCAGTGTCCTGCAGAGCACTGGTTAAAGCTTGTAGGAGAATGCAAAACCCCTGACCTCTGTCTGGACAGTGCTGATTGGCCCTGTGCTGATTACATGCATTCTCCCAAGAAAAAAAAAACCTCTCTAGCAAAACACACTAAACTGAGCATGTGCAGAGTGTCTCCACGTGATGTGTCTTATCAGGAGATAAGAGGGGGACACTGGAAGGAGGAGAGGATCAGAGAAGTTGGGATCAAACAGCATTGTTACACTGTGCAGAGGATTAGCCCCTTAGGTCCCAGAGTGAGTATAACAAGCATGCTTTACTGCATATACTGATTGATTTTCATGTTGTGGGTTTACTAAGACTAGTTAGTCACTAGTCCAGTTTAGTTCAACCAATTTAAAAAAAAAGCACACATAATGCATTCTTAAGTCCATTTAACCACTTCAAATCTGGACACTTCCAGTCCAGGCCAGCTTTCAGCGCTGGCACACACCACTGGGATTTTTATTTTTCTCCTATATAAACGAAAAAAATAATGAAAATTTTGAAAAAACTCACTAGGTCAAAACGTATTTTGCTACATTTTTTTGTATAAAAATTAGTCTGTGTGAAAGGTATAGAGTATACAAGCTAATATATATATATATATATATATATATATATTTGAAAATTGATCAGTACCAGGATCAGTATGAGGGGTATGAAGTATGGCGGTGATCAGGACAGTGGTATGTTTGGTGATGATCAGGATGCTGGTATGATGGTGATTAAGGCACTGGTATGGGGTATGGTGGAGATCAGGGCACTGGTATTGTGTATGGAAGTGATAAGGATGCTGGTATTGGGGTATGGTGGTGATCAGGGCACTGGTATTGTGTATGGCAGTGATCACGATGCGGGTATGGAA